ACCAATCGAAAACGGCAAAGTTAACGATTTTGAAAGTAAATTTTGCTTAGATCAGATTTAAGGAGAGTCTATGGCAGAGTCTACGAATAATAATCAAGGGTTTTGTTTTTAATCTAAGACTAATTTTTAGAATTCCGAATATGTGTTTGTGTCTAATGATCTAGTTTAAAAATATGACACAGATAATACGACTTTTGATGTGATATGTGGAGCGTATGAGGTTTTAATAGTTGTCTTATGGATCAATTTTTTTTACTCTAAGGCTCTTATTTTCAGATCTACGAATTGTATCAAGTGATCTCGTCAAGAGATATGGTACAGGATAATATGACTTGTAACTTGATACATAAGGAGTGTAAGGCTTCAATAATTGTGCAATGGGTCCATTTTTTTACTCTAAGGCTCTAATTTCAAGATCTCTGAACACGTTATTGTATCTACATACTAATTTCGTTTAGAAATATGACACTGGATATTATAACTTCGGATAATACGTATTTAGATTTGATATATGGACACTCCCCATGTTTATAATAATTGTCCAATTAGACTATTTTGTTACTTCGAAGTTCTTATTTAAGAACTATCAATAAAGAATATAATATATATAGTTCAAGATATAGAGTCTTTAAGTAAACCTATCTGATTTGGTTGATTTAAGTGATAGTTAACCTCATGTGGAATATCTTTCACTTTCTCCAGAATAGTCTTAGGTATGGTTTCCATTTTTCAATGCAATGTGTTATACTTTCTGCTTGGCAGTGCTGTCGAAAACTTCGAAATCGATTGGAAATAAACTTAATGTAATAAATTTATAATTGAAATTTCGATTAAATTTTTATATCTATATAACATGTAGTGTAAAATACAAATTTATTGAAATTTTTAGCAGGGAATAACTTACAGTATAGCATCCATCTGACGTAGCTTTCGATGACTTCTCGGCATAAAGTTAACAATAGCTTAGCACAAGGTCACAAAAAAAATCTGTTGATAATCTAACTCCAAATTTATTATCGTTAAAAGAAGATATTGCTATTTTAATCTAGAACACTTAAAGCTGTGGATAAACTACATAATGTCTTTTGACTCATTCAATCAAAGTCAAATGTAGATAGTAGATCCATTATCTGATAATCATAGGATCTTCGACCAGATTAGATAGGCGGTTTCACGTTCTGTAATATGTTCGTGTCAGTATTAATTAATTTCCTCTTTGAACGATGTGTTAGTGCAATGTCTAATTAAGAAATCGATTTTTAGTCTGATCTATTTATGTTGGAAATATATCATTTTTAATACTAAGGCCTTTGCCTTTAATTTGCTAACAATTTATATAATGGGTACATATGCAATTTAACACCCTTTTTCACTACCTCTCTATTAAATATAATAGTTTCTATTAAGTAAAATAGTCACCATTATCATAACTGACAATAAAATCATATATAATATAAAATAATTATTTCAATAATAAATGTAAATAATTGGGCGGTACATATAATTATTTTGTTTATTATGAATAAAAAATATCATGCCCAGACTTTTTTATTGATTAATGGAAATTTTTATTATCTCGATAGTATAAACTTATTAAAAAATATTAAAATTATCAATTGAAGATAATAAATTTTGAACTGATAACAGACAACGTGTTAAACAGGGCTCATTATCAGAGGCATTATTCGAGTAGTTCTACTTGATACGAGTATGATTAAAATGAGATCAAAGATTCTTGATTAATTATTTTTATAATTTATTTTAAAATTAATTTACTAACAAAATAGTGAATCAACTTACAATAAGTAACATTATATTTTGTATTTATCACAGCTTCTCTTTAGGTATTTAAATCCGGCTGTTATCAGTGAGTTGCGGTACTGTGCTTCACTGCTCACGCTTACCATATCACCCAGAGGAAAGCCTTTGCTTACGAGTATATGTTCTTCAACAATGAAATTGAATGAATCATTAATTTAGTTGTGAAAAAAATCGGCCACATTTTTCACTTATAGTTTTTTCGGTAATTGAACCGGATTTATATTTCTTTTAGATAAGTTCCGACTATGAAAAAAATAGTTTAAAATTGCTATATATACGTATATATCAATTGGGTGTTTCAATAACCAGTTTTCGGATAATGGATCTTAAACTATTGCACAATAATATTATAATTATAAGAGCTCTACATCCCAATTTAAGTCCATCTCTATAATCTGTCTATAATCCATGTCGAAGGATCTAAACTGATAAAACTGATCAACAGGCAAAAACGATCGAAAAAACTTATTTCCCTTCTCAGTCACAAAAGCACTAAGATTCCTTGAGAACATGACCTCAAATCACTCAGTGTTGGTTCAAATTTTCTAATATCTGAAAGATCAAGTTTTTTATTTTTTGGAACGTATTTAAATGATGAGTGACTAAGATTTACTATCATTTTTGCTTTCGCCTTTACTGAAACAGTGCTATCAAAGACTGCCATGGCCATGAGTTCTTTTGCTAAGTACTATAAATGAATTGGTCATTTTCATCAAAACTGCGTTCAATATTTCAATGAAATAGCTTTTTTAATGAGTTGGAGATCTTGATTAACTGCTCAGTTGGAGATCCTAGGGGGTGCGCCCATTCAAAAGTTTATTTTTATCTTTCCCCTTATAACGTGATACACTCTAATATATCAGTCTGTGAGTCCATGTTTTAAGACAAATTGCGATCTCAGTTTTTGAGATAGGTGAATGAGTTTTCTTCACACAGATTTTGTCAGAAAAAAACTATTTCATCATTTCCAGAAACAAACGAGTGAAGTTTTGTAGAAAAATTTACCAATACAGCTTTAAAAGATTATATTTTAGTTACATATAAACTAATCAATTGAAACTTATATTACATATATATCATTATATAAGGGACATAGTAAATTTATAACGAGAAATTAAGCGGAAACTATTGGTTCTTTTAAAATTTTGATTCCCGCTAAACTATTTGGTTTCAAGTTTTCTATTTCAAAATAAAAATAGTCAATATTCCCATACATTAGACTTAAATTCTTCAGAATAGTTTAAAGTTTACAAATTTAATCTGCTTTACTACTCATCCCAGCTGTCTTACTGCCTCCACTCTTAAATTTAATATTATTACTTTTAATGTTATAGAGATTAGAAAGCTTATAGATGTAACTTCCAAAATCGTTTTGATTACCGAAGTAAGACAGATACATATAATAAATTTAAATATTTTTCAATTTCAATTCCGGTATTAGTCTGAATTGCTTCAGCGACATTTTCCATATTCCCAACTAATATTCTAAGAAGGAGTCCTTTATAGCTCTATAAGTAGTTTATATACAGATATAGAATTAACCTTCGTTAGTAATCTAATTATTATATAGGTGCTAGAATCATACCTCCAAATAATTGTAAATAAATTTTTCGCAAATACTTCAAAGTCAATTTTAATGTGGACTCATCTTATTATAGTAATAACTTTCTAAACTTTCAATTTTCTTCCACATGATTAAAATTATAAATGATATAATATATTTTTTTTTGTGGCAAGGAGGAGTGGTATGCCTACGATCACAATTCGGTGTCCCGGAAGGAGAGTACCCGACTCGCACGTTCTAAACCACTCCCTTGTTCTACCCCGGGACTACATTAGTATTACTTCCCTATTAGTCACTTATTCCATCGGTGTGATTTAGTCCAGGCCCCGGTACTGTTGTAGATGATTAATCTTACCCTTCATCTGGGTGTGATACAGCTGCTTACTTCAACTGTCTTCTATCAGAGTCTACTTAAATGACATATATATTAATATATATATATACTTCATATTATTATGTATTAATATATGTTAATATGAACTATATTATATATTATTATGACCTATAAACTAATATCAATTTTTGCTTATAGTAATAATAATATAGTAATTGTTTAATGTAATAAATAAAATTATGCCTACCGCATCAACAGATCCATATTTTGTGCTTTTGGCAAACTGAAACTACTATAATAAACCGATTTGCATATCTAATGTTTTACTGAGGCCCTACGATTCTTATGAAGTTAAAGAATGACGATGAACAGAAGTGGTGTTGAAGGTTAATGTTTATGCTTCCATCTAACTTCAGAACTTTAAACTTTAACATTATTGAACTCAAATTTCAAGCTGTAGAGCAATATTTAAAATACTAGATGAATATATCTTAACCATTGTGAACAAGTCTAGAGTCCAGAGGTTGTAGCTAGTTATAGTTTTAAGATGTAAGTAAATTATATAAATCCTCTAATAATTGAAAAGAATATTACAATTATCATAACAGTAATTAAAAATGACACATTTGGTAGCATTACTTATTTCAGTAGTATATTTTTAAATATTTGTGTGAAATTCTCCCAAAAGCAACACAAACAATCAGCCATAGTTGCAGTTCTCCACTCCATTGGCACCCAATCTCTATAAAACTAAGATTAAGACTAAATAAAGTAATTTATTTTTTTTTGCGGTAGATGGAGAGCAACGAAAGCCACATTATGAAACTGTTACTAAACATCGAAATTTAAGAGCTTTAGTATTAAAATTTCTAAAACTGTCTTAGCTAAGATTACTTAACTTTAGTTATAGCTTTAAATTACGAGGCAATGATTCAGGAGTTAAATAACAGAACTATGTACATATATGATATGATTTCTTAGCCTAGTTAAAGCGTAGTGTGGGGTAGTGATAAGCCCCCCAGCAATTATAGAGTAAAAGTGCGTAATAGCACTAACTCAAGAACAAGAAGAAGAAGAGGAAGAACAGAACTATCTCATATTGTTTAATTATAATAGTTATCATGTTAACATGTAAAAGTATATTTCAAATTTTAATTTCATGTATTTTTTTTATGAAAAAAGGAGTATTAATTTCAGTTTATAGCAACACGTACATAAGATTAAACTGTTATTACTTAAATTTGTAATTAATTTAATTATAAATTATGATTAACCGCAGTAGCTATTTCTATATTAACATTACTACTTCTATTGTTAACATAACATTTTTACTTTCTTAACAGCAACATCTTGCGTTGCCAACTTTTTACATACTACCCATATGGCTACAGCTGTCAAATGAATTTTGACAGTTCGTAATTTTTTTTGTCATTGAACCCCAAAAACTATTTTGGGATATATAAATTTTTTATAAATGTTTTATTAAAAGAAAATTTTGGCCAAATTTTACATAAATTATAAAACGAAAGTGTAAGCAGTGCAATAAATGAATCCCATGTAAGTAAAATGTTGCTTTTCAGTCAAATATTAGAATATAAACATTCTGGAGTGTTTTTAGCATTGGTCAAGCAGACTTTCATGCAGCGACTGCGGCCACTGCAGCTGCAGCAGCCTCATCAAATACATGTCCATTACATCAAACAACAATGGATTCAGTTGAATCAGAAACATCAGAAGGAGGGCAATGGTCATCCGAAGAATGTGGTTATATGGATGGTGATTCACAGCGTGCAAATAATCAAAGCGATATCGTACCAACATATCCACAATTTGGTTGGGTCGATATAACGAAAGACTTTTTTGATTCATGTAATGAACTGAGTTTAGGTGAGCTAGCGCAAGATATAATGTTTGGTCTGCTTGAAGCCATGTCAGCTATCGAAATGATGGATCCAAAAATGGACATGGGCATGGGCTATAATAAAAATGATAAACCTGCATACACTTTCGAAACCGCAGTAGAGGTAAATAAATATTTTTATTTTTTTGCATTTTACAATTAAGCAAATATTAATGTTTTGTTTTTTAGGCTGGAGTTTTAAAATTAGAAAATTTGACTGTAGAAGAATATTTAGGTGTCTTTGATTCACTATTTGCTTGTATTGTATCTTGGTTAGAAGGTAACTCAATGGACCAAGTGCTACTCACATGTCTATACTTACATGCGCCAGCTAAGATAAAGGACAAATCATTACGTAGCTTTTGCTATGCAGTACGAAATCTTGTATTAATTATTAAAAAAATTGTTGTGATAAGCAGCGTAAATGAAGAAGAAGATTTTCAATATTATGGTAATTTAGCCATAATGTCAGCGGAGGAGTCATTACCGTATGCGGTAACAACACAAATTAAAGAAGCTGAAGACGAATTATTGCGTCAAAATAAAAATTCAGCACAACCTGAAGATATCATGCCAGTGGTGCATCGTTTAAGGTATATGCGACATTTTTATCATGCAATATATCTATTCGACTTTGCAACATCAACTTCACCGGATGAAGCCATCATTAACGAAATCTATAAAAATTTAAATGCAACATTAGAGCTGGTACCGCAAATAAAACGCACTATTGACAAAGGCACACCACCAGAGGAAGACTGTAACTAAGACTGTGTTTTTTTTTTTGTTGATAATAAATTTTATATATTAAACTTTTTACAGCTGATCTTCCAAATCCGATGGGATACTCATCGCGTATACATAATCGTAGTCAACCGCCAACCTTTCCACGTACAGTCAAAATACGTGATCGACATTCGAGTATACAATTTTATGAAGAAGTAGCGCTACACTTGAAACACGCCTGCAAAGTAATCAAAATGCGCGATTATTATACAGTTTTGGTAAGCTGTAATCAATATTGAGGTTCAGTGTTGTTATTTTAAACGTATGGCTTGGAAATATTTTGTTTAAAATAATTTTTCTTATTTCCTTTTTATCGCAGAATTTTTTCATAGACTTTAGTCGGAGATATGGAAATTGTATACTTTCACGCAGTATTCTACAGGCATTATTTATGTCACACGATCGTCTTATATTCGGCACAATACCCATGAAAGACTTTCTTTGGGATTCAGTGCGAGCATTCAATTCTCCACCCATACTAAATCCAAAACACGCATTAGCCACAGATCGCAAAATACAAATGCATTTGGAAACTTTCTTTCGTTATTGTGCCTCCATGTCAACTTTTGTGCAATTCATACGCATTTGCGGTTACAACAGAGCAAGGCAACGTGAGAAGCTATCAAGATTTTTAGAGAGTTTTGAGTCAATACAAGTAGAGGCTGCACGTTTGGACTCGCATTTGAGCGTGTTAGCTAGTGAAAAGGCGGCCGAGGGGAATGAACCACATGCCACAGCACTCAAGTATAGCGCACAATTCTCAACTTGGGTACATTACAACTGCTTCCGTGCAATGATGCTTTATCTGATGTCTGGATTCGAACTGGAATTATATTCAGTGCATGAATATATTTACATATATTGGTAAGAACCATTTCATCTTTAATTTATTTTTATTAATTTTCTTTTTTTTTTAAAAAAATAGGTATCCATATGAACTATTAATTGGTTTTATTGTATCAGCCCTAACACGCACTGAAAACAATTGGTTAGTTCAAGAGGAATATGCCGAACAATTAAGTAGATTACAATCTGGAGGTAATGGAAAAAATCGTAAAACTAAGCCAAAAAAGAACAAAAAACAACAGAAACCATATCGACAAGAAATTGTTTACTATCATGCATTATTGAGCATGTGTGGTGGTTTTTATAAGGGCATGGGTGCACTGACCAAAGATGGACGTATAAAACAGCCAATGTCTCAATTTGATAGTGAAGAAATACGTTATTCGCGTCGTTTTGCGCCATTTCAAACATTATCTAGTCCGCCGCGTATACGATATAAGGAATATGAAAGCATACGTGAGCATATGATGCGTCCAGATTCATCCGAAATTTATGAACATGCGGCGCGACATTTCGATCAAGCACGTAGCATACTAGAAAATATGCAAAATCCAGATCAAGAGGTTAATACATATAGCAACTAAAAATATTATAAGATAGTGAATTGCAACAACAAAATTTTTTTACTTTTAATTAATTGAATATTTACCTGAGCATATAATATAGTGGTTTCTAGTATTGCAAAAAATTTCCATCATTGGTCTTTTTGGAAATTTTTCTTATATTTAACGATTCGTAATGCGTAAAATGCGATAACGCATAAACGGAATAGACTCTTGGCAATGTATACCCTTTCGGAAGTGTCAATAAAACTCCGTAAAGTAGGTTCTATAGGGCTTAGAGACCTACTCTATACCCAGAAGCGGACACAATAGACATAAATGTCGAAGTGCTACATCCCATAACAATAATAATAACGATTCCTAAATAATTTAAGACTGCGAGTACCAAGGGTTGTACTTGTATAGTTTGTTTTGTTGTTGCAATTTACTACTGTTCGAAAGAAAAATAGTTTCGTTCGTCATAATTAATTTTAAAATCAATAAAAAATTTATCTTTCAGATTCTGGATTTACGGCAAGTAGCTAGAGTAAATTTTGTTGTTATGAATGTCTTAGCAAAAGGCCATCAGAAACATACGAAAAAGCAACCTGAATTCGATTTTTCTACACATCGTCATTTTCCCATAATCAAACTGAATTAGTGTATTAAATTTGTGCCGGCTGGAACGGTTATTTCAAAAGGTACTAAAACGCAAAATATATAGATTTTGACATAATAAATATAATGTAGCATTTTTCGGTTTAATATAATTCATCAAATTAATACTACAAATAAGTTTGTAAACGTAAATATATTTTAATTTAATAATAATACAAATATATGTCATTTTATTGTTTGCAAAATATAATAAAAAAACAAAATATGTAATAGAATTAAGAATGAAATTTTTAGTTTCTTCCAATGCCAATATTTAGTAAAGAAATGTTAGAATCTAAACTGCTCTAACGAGCGACACTAGTGGCTTGTTATAACCAGTAGATAACTGTTAGGTTTCTCCATATGGTGCATAGCCGTTGCAACGATTCTATTTCTTTTAAAAACATTAAATTATATTTAAATAAAAATGTTTAATAATATTAGTCTTACTGCTTGAGGCATGCAGTTAGTACTTTACTTATTGCTCTAAATATAAGCGAGATTAAATATAAATACACTCAGTAAGTTAGACTTGGTAAGATAGCCACTGAGTTTGAATAATTTTTAATTGCTTAAATGATTGATAACCATATCGTATGTAAAGCTTTTTAAAACTTTATATAGTAATTAAATATCGTGTAAATATAAAAATGGTGTACATCTCAAATTAAAGTTTTAAAACTGTATTTAGTATATCAAACTAACAAAATGTGCCTTCTTAAGACATTTAAATTACGTTCAACAGGATAATGATTTATATAGAACATTTAGAGTTAAAAGTTATATGTAGTCGATTTTTAGATATCTCAATAGCTGAGATTTCACAGATTAAAATTGCATTACCATAAAGATTAAATATAATACAGACTTTCTCACACTTGAGTCAGTTCTGTTTAGCTTTTTGTAATAATTTTACTCTTATCATGGACTTAAAGGATTGCCAATTTTACTTATACTAACTGAAATGCTATTTTTTATCATCAACGACATCTTGTTTGATTATATATTCTTTGACATAACCAATATCTTCTGGTATCTTACAGCTATTGACGCAAGTGTATACAGCCAATACACCCCAATCGATGGCTTCATTATTGAATATGTAGAGCATTTGTGGCATAATTTGAAATTCAAATTGTCTTGGTCCACCGCATAACTCGCAATTGGGTATAACCAAATGTGCTGCTATAGTCTTTTCTGGATTACTTATCCATAATGGTTCACCATTACGTTTATAACGTAAAATTTGTGCTTCCTGTTTCCACATAGTTTTCTTGAACTTACGGAAATATTTATCATCCATACCCGTTGAGGTACCACCAGCATATTTTTCTAATTCCCCATCTGGAACATTATTTAATGCACCTGTTTTACCTTCAGCTGCCAGTTTTTCATATTCAGCCATTTGTTCTTTTTCTTTGGCCTCATCATCTTTGTCCAAATCTACACGATTGTTTTCATCACATGGTTCTATAGTGATTTCATATTCTGGAAATAGTAATTTTGGAAATGCAATCGCATTAATTTTGTTTACTTCGTTTTCTGTTACATTAGCCGCAGAACAAATCGTTTTATGATGTGGCCAGTGTGCACGTTGATGCTCTGCTGCACAATAGTTAGCATTTTTGCAACGACTGCACTGGAGTTGTCCCAAACATCCGCAAACTATGCACAACTTTTTGTTGGGCATTATAGGTGGCTGTAAAAGAAATTAAGAATATACTTTAGAACCATATAAGTGTCATTAGCTACAATTAGATATTTTTTAATTAATGTGTCCCTAGATAATCAACCAATCAAGCACTTTTAAAATATAATTATAAAGAGATTTATTCAATGAAGAGTAAAATAGGTAAATCTATTATTCATTATGACAAACTTAAGCTTATTGGTCCGGTATAATTCCACCAAATTCCATTTCAAAAAATTACTCACGTTTCCCCGGCAAACTAACCACAGAGCTTTTTAAACATCAAAACAGGTATTAAGACCATTTTGACAATTTTGCCCAAACTATTCAAGAATACTTTCTCTTACTAACTCACTGTTGACTTCTTCTCCTCGTGAAGCTTAGGGCCAGAGAAGAAACTCTAGCAGAGAAGAAACTCAATGTTATTGTTGTGATATCCCGTGGGAATTTATACAGCAGGCATCCACTCTATTGAAGTAGGCTTCTCCGTCTTGAGCCAGGTTGATTTTATTTTAAATCCCACCCATCTCCACTCCCTAATCTCACCCTCACTTAACCATTACCCATACACAACCTTATCTATATATACACAACTGATATCCACCCCATTAAGGTAGGTTTTTCCATCTGGACCCAGGTTGATTTCAATTTAAATCCCATCCATCCTTACCCTCTAATCCCCTCTTCATCCTTACTCAACCGTTATCCATTCACATCATAACCCATGTATTCTTCGTGGAATTCTTTCATGATACCTGGTTTCCAAATCCCTGCGGGCTACCATAATAATAACAACAAAAACAAGACGGAGAAAATCGCAAAGACGAGAAGATACTCAATTGTCTCTTCCTTTTCGTCGTCATCACACCTTCTACAAAATTAGCAACTAACTTTCAACGCCTAACATTAAGCAATCATTGAATAACAAAACAAGAATCCAAGAAAATGTAGGGCATTCTTTAAGGAAAATAATCAAAACTCCTTGGTGATGAGAGAAATTCTGATATATATAAATATCTTATTATTGTCACCACTATTCAACAAATTAGATTTCTAAGTACATTTTGAAGAATTCAAGCGACGGCGGGAAGAATTTCCGGTAACCGTACTATCATGAATAAAAATAGGAGTGTCACAATAAAAGTTAGGCAGATTATTAAGTTTTTCTAATGTAGAACAAATGAGGAGCGCCCAAAAGGAGTAAAGGTGCTAACTGTCGCCAACACCATTAATCGACAATTTATAATTTAAAATATATGCAATAAACATCTATATGGACTAATTAAAGTCGAATGATATGAACTCTAATTATCTCCTTTAACAATCTAGAATACGATTCTTATTCTAAATTTTCACATTTTCCTAATAGTTTTTGGAGAGAATTTTCACTAGGCAGATCAGACCTATTACGAAATTAACAAACTGCAATAATAAACATTTAATTCTTATTAACTATAAGATCTATGTCCCCAAAATTAACCGTCTTTATCGATTTTCAACTGGCACCCACCACTGTTTTCGAAATTCCAACATTCGTTGGAAAAGCGAGTAAAACAAACTTCCGAAGGTGAAACCACAATCGGATATAAAAATACTTAGTAAATATGTAATTATAAAAAATATATATTGCGGATTTAAGATATCAGATCTTTTTATATTAAACTGCACATGTCATTCTGGCATTTTTACCGTTTATTCACGTTAACAGTAAATTGTTAACTTTTACAGACATTATGATATCTCTAGAATACATAGTGCCGTTGAGGATGAACACACTACATTAAGTTGTGTCAGCGAATAAAATGAAACTCCTTGTTTGATTCTTAACAGAAGGGGTGAGTGCCACATGGGTGTATGCATAATGAATGACTCCAGGAAGTAGACTTGATTGCTACTTAAGTCCCGAAACACTTTTGTAAGAAATCCTATTAACTTGAAATATATATTTATTAGCGTTTTCGGAAATGAGTTTGTGACTATAAAGGTATTGAAATTCTTCTGAACCTATATTTCCTATTTAAATAAATCGATATATGTTTTAAGCAGTCTGTAGTTTTTAAAAATGTTAAAAGAATGCGTATTGGAGTGCAAAATATTTCAAGATATAGGAAAAGAATTAGTGTGGAATAAAAATTCCATCTCAGTATTTCATCTACTCCAAAATTTACATAAAATCATTGTTAATAGCATTGATTAGTGACCATTTAAAAATATTTTCAACTCCTTACCAAAACATCAGCATCTTCATCTGGCGGTATCTCAGAGTAGAACTTGTTCTTTTTTGCCAGTTGACTTCTTAAAACCATTAAATTGCTAATACACAAAATGAAAATTTTATTGTTAACCAAAAATTTGTTGCAGAACCACGAACCTTGCTGTATTGGCTTTCTGACATGTTGCTGTGCGGCAAACAAAAACAAAAATAGTACGATGGAAATTATGTTCATCTCCAAATGGTGCATAGATCTAAAAGAATATCGTGTGTGTTTATATGGAAAACAATTTTAAGTGCAATATTCTTTACCTGACATAAAAATGTTTTTGGAGTTTTGCATTCATCACAAAACATTTCCTCTTTACTTGGTAATAAGTCCAACTCTAACCAAGCTGGTTTACCGCCTACTTTACTTGGAAAATAACGATTCGTTAACCAACCCGGTTCGCATTGCTCCGGAAATCCTAAGTCCATATCGCTCATATTTGTATTTAATATTAATAATTATTTAATGTGAAAAAATCTTGTTATTGCAAAATGCAAATAATCACAAATATTTATTAAAATCACAAAACTGTTTTAATATTTTTATGTATCTTGCAAAATATTTATTTTCTTCACAAAATTGTGTACATGTGAATAACAAATTCATTGAACGTTTATGAAAACAGCTGATTGACGCTGATTTCACGTGTGTCTAGAAGTACAGTACGTAATAAAATTTTCGCATTTTATGTATGAATATTTTATACGAACTCTTAATTTAAATTTTCGCGTAATGAAAAACAAAATAATTGTAACTAAAAAATAAACTATACAGTAATTACGTACTACTATATAATATAATATTGATATATAATATTAATATATATAATAACTATATAATATATAATAATAATAAACTATATTGTACTAACAAAGTATATATGATTTTTAAAATTTGAGATATATAATAATAAATTTCATATTTAAACAAAATTTATAAATAAATTAAAATAATAATATTAATAATAATATTAAAAATTATACATAAAAAAACTAACAAATCTTATATTCCAATTTTTTGCGTATGTGAAAAATTTGAGTTAAATTCCCAATAAATTCGTACAAACTAAATTTTATTACTAATAAATAAAATTAAAGTAAAAATACATAAAAAAAAAATTTAATTTACATGATAACCTTTAAGTAGAATAACTAAATTGAGGCACAGTGAGAAACGAAGATTTGTAATTAATGATGAAGTTTACTAGTTATTATAGAAACTATTTCAATGAATACGATCCACAAATAACAGTTACACCTGCAAATAACGTATGAAGTAAGCGTTTGTATTTTGGATTTATAGTTATAATAATTTATATCGAAACTCAAAGATAAGCTTGTCATTATTATTTAAAATAATTATAGTAGATCTTCGCTAGTGCAGAGTCTCTGGTAATTCGGATTTCCTTCTAATTTGCATTTCATTTATATTAAATGAAATATATAAAATATTTTTCCTGAACGTTTAATATGTTTTCATCACTCCGAATATCTGAATAATTAAGATTATTGCCGTCAATTTTAATAATACTGCATTAAACAGTAAAAATAAGAGAAGTAAAAAAAATTTAAACAGATTTGCGATTAAATTTTATACAAAATTTTTTATATAAATACACTTATATGCAATACGAGATCGTGAACTAATTCGTTAATATAATTTTCAAACTTTAACATCACTAGTTAATGCTAATACGGCGTTTACATTGGCCGAAAATGGCTCATTTTGGTCAAAAATCGAAAATGAGTATCGAATGGCTCATTCTTGCATATAAAATTTCAAGCACAAAATGAGCAATTTTCTCACATTCTGTATGAATGACGTTCGAATGCATTCCACATATGTTCCAAATGCAAAGGAATCTATTGAACATACCCTAAATGAAAGCTCTTCATGGCATTTTGACAGTTTGTAAAAGCTGTTTTGACATATTTACAAAAAAAGATAAACAAATGTTTAGTAGTTTTATTTCAGTTTGAATTGTTACCATGAGAACGAATGAAATACAACGAATGTAAACACTTTCAAATGAGTCATTCAAAATGAGCCATTTTCGGCCAATGTAAACGCCGTATAAGTTAGCAGTATTTAACACTGTTTTAGTTTTCTTGCAATTGTATTATAACTATTTGCTTATATTAAAAGTTTGTGTTTTGTATTTATTCATGTATTGCATTTTGTTATGAACATAATAAACAGAAATTATAAATTCCTTAATAAGTAATTAACGAATGACTTCTTCACAATCGATAGCTTGTCAGTCATCTTCAACTTTATGAAAAAGAGTATGTTTTTTAAATATAATAGGTCTTAATAGTCCTTTTCTTTTGTAAGAATATCATAAAAAACAACCGCTTGTTTTAAAAATAATATATGAAACAACACAGCGGGCTTAATTAGACCAACTTTTTTGAAACTACTTAACTAATAAGCAGCTCAAATCGCATTTATTATTATTATTATTTATTGATTCAAAAATTCATAAAACACACAAAAATTATGCAATTTTACTTAAAATCTAAATTGACAATAACATATTTGTTGTGTTTCAGAAATTGCATGGTTGGCAAGACTAAAAGTTCGTATATTGTGAACTGTTTTTAGAAGTACGTACAAAATTTCCACCTAACTGTCAGCAAATACTTGACCAATAATACTTAATTCTTTTTAATTTACTACTTCTTTCTGTTAACATTGAAAAAGTCTGAAAATAAAATTTTATTCACAATCATGTAAAAAATAAAATATTTTTATCCATAATTACAAGGAATTATTATTACTCATTTTCGAATCTGTAATTTTAAATATTATTACGTGTTTTACATACATAAGCGAAACAATATTTCCAATTCTTCCAGAGTTGCCATTAAAGTAGTGCTTATTTTATGTTGTTCTTTTGCGAAATGTTTACAAAAGAAAAAGCCTAATAAAGTAATTTCATTACTCTATTATGAGGAACTTCAACTAGCACTTCCTCGTTGTTTGTGTACAATTTGTGCTTTGTGTTACAAAAATGTGTTGGCAACTCTTTTATTATACAAAAATATTTGACATCATCAATTAGAGAGTAAATTTTGACAGAAATCAGTATTACGGCAGAAACATAAATGAAAACGGTTGTACGTAATCGCATAGTGCAAAATAATAATTATTAAAAATCATATATATACATATTAAAAATTAATCGTTTCTAATTAATATATAATCAATTTTAACACATTAAAAATATTTGGAAAAATTTTTTGTAAAATATACAAAGTATTTAAATCGTGAGAGTGCATATATTTTTGAAGTGATTGCAATTTATTACACAAATATATAACGCAATAAAGCTGCTAAAAATAAAAATAAAGTGAATTGTACTAAATTTTAGTGTTTTTGTTGTGATGTGAATATTTTGAAAAATTCTGAAGCTATTAGTCCTATTAAAAATTTAATATAAAAAAAGTTAAATAAAGAAATTTTAAGCAACGCGAAACTCACGGAACAAGTGAGCATTGGCTAAAAATAAATCGACCACCTCCGCAAAAAGAAGAGCCCGCATATTCCCGACCACCCTAAATACCACCTCACTACCTCCACACCACACCACACCACCTCCAACAAATGTGAGGAAATGCATACACGCGAAAATTAAGCTGTGCCGCGTTTAATACTTTAAGTGGAAATATATTCTAATGTTCGATGTAAGTGAAACAAAAATTTTATTCCTGTTTTTGTTTTTTTATTATTTTTGTTTTTTTATTATTTTTGTTATTTTTGCTGAGATTGCGTATATTCACCTTTTTCCTATTCTATTTTTTAATTTCGAACTGTAAACAGTGCAAATCTTACGTTGCTTAAAATAAAATCTAGAGCAGCCTGCCTGCCTGCCTGCCTGCCTGCCTGCCTGCCTGCTTGCTAACGGTCAAGTGATTTGCCGGTTTCATATTAAATTCTGGGTGCTTGTGCACCATTTGAAAAAGTGCCAATGCTGCTGAAAATCGATGGGATTTATTCCCTATTTTTCATAAGCCACACACACAACTCACACACACAATTGCAATTAAGTTTTGCAATTTAATATTAATAAATTCTTAATAATTTTTTGTTTGTGTTATTTAGTGTTTTTGTAAATTCAGTTGAAATCATTTTATCAGTTTTCTTAGTTGGAATTGTCGTTAAAAATTGTTAGAATAGAAAAAGGGGATTCCCTAAGTTAAATTATTTAATGAGAATTTTGCAATGAGTATTTCATTAAGAACAACTGTTTGAGCAAATGGGGTTTAATTTGTATTTTAATATTCTCAGTAAGTAAAGTATTGGATTGTAAAATAGAATAACTTAAAGCTACTTTTATTAATTAAATTATATTAAATTTTTATATAATAAGCCAAAAAACAAAAGTTCAAAATGTCGTATAAAAATAATAAGTAGGTCATTTTTAAAGGAATAAAAAGTGACAAAAATAACATAAAGTAATAGAACGTTTCGATTTTTGGCGGGAAACATTCAGTATCGAGTTATAAAGAGCAGGTATTTAAGTATTAATTATTAAATTTTCGAAGAAATGTCTTTTGCCATAATGATAATGTGTTCACTCAAAAACTATGTACCCATAAGTTGTAGATATATATATTGTGGGATGTTGGGACAGCACACCATCCAGCAAGTGGCCCCACTGAAATGAAAGATTAGTCGAAGTAGACTACGACACGACTTGAGTTGTTTTTTGTCCTTCGATTCTCGAAATTCGTTGTTGATTTAAAGCTAGAGTGGTTTCCGCTTCAGGTTTGCTGCCAAGTCAATACCAATCCAATGGTGTCCCGAGACAGTCACCCTCCTGCTTGCCAGTGCTGAATATTGACACAATATATGCACCGCTGTCTTCTTTTCTTTTAGGCATAGTCCGCAAGTGTCCTCCTTAACAAGATTTGTCTTTTTGAGGTGATACCTGAAGTTTCCATGATCAGTAATCAATGAGGTCATCCAGCTTAGGGTGCTTCGCGGATAGCTAAGTATTTTTATCGCTTCTCTGGCCGACGGTTTCGGCACCATGAGTTGTACATACTTTCGATTGATATCAATTACTATTAGAATGATTAATCTGGTTTTATATTCTAAGTAATGCTTCCTCCCGAACTGTATTGCACGTACTGTACCTAACAGCCTTGCCAGAAAGGGGTTTCCCGAGATAAGACTTGCCAGTCGTAAGAGGCGACCAATATGTAGCACTCGATACTGTTTTGATTATAAAGATTTGATTAAATTTTATTTATGGGAGCAGGGCCCACAATTTCGCTGTCCTGACTAATTAAGATTAATGTCTTTAATTGGAATATCGTAATGACTGTGATTAAAACCTAAAGTTACTCCGGTAGAATGACTGTATTTTATTACTTTTATTTAATGTTGCATGTTCCAACACTGCATGTTCCAATGAACAGTACAGATATTAGATGGGCCATTTTCCCTCCTAAGGAGGAAACTATATCCAAACAAATAGCTTCGATTTGAACAGCTGGAATTCCTTGGAATTTTAAAATGTTTTAAAGGAACGTTTATTTTGTCGTTATAACCCGTAGAGATATGCTAGTGTAATCCCTTTTAGGTATTGTAAACGGCGCTTGGTTCTTGTACTTGACGAGTTGCTCCGTTTATAGTTGCGTTATTTTGATATGTATGTTAAGCACTGTGGTATTAAGTTTTAATGGCAGATAATCATTTTGTAAGACTATGGTCTCTGCTATTGTCCTTATTGTTAGAGAAATTCGGTTACCTAGGTACAAGGTGAGATGAAAAAACTGCAACCAACTTCAGACTGCTGTCATTTCTAAACCGCTCGTCCCACAGCTGTCAGATTTATTCTAGTGACAGCTCATTATATTGTTTACAAGCGCACAAAAGCATTTTGGTGGGAATTTTTCAAAAAAAAAGTTATTTGTGATGGAATTCAAGCGTGATAGTGTGATTGCTTTGCATTTGGCTGGAAAACCACAAGTGGCTATCGTTAGAGCCCTCCAGCATTTAGAAGTGAATAAATGTTTTGTGTCTCGTACCATCGCTCGTTACCATGATACTGGTAGCGTAGCCCGACGTCAAGGAAGTGGACGAAAAAAAACAGCAACATCGGCAGAAATGGTTCGAAAAGTGAAAAAGCGAATTGAACGAAATCCGCGTCGCAGTGGACGAAAAATGGCTCGTGAGCTGAACATATCGCAATATGCCATTCGGCAAATATTGAAAAATGAGCTTGGACTAAAGCCATTCAAGTTCCAAAAAGTGCAAGATCTTACTGATGCGCAAAAAAAAGTTAGACTCGAAAAAGCTAAAGAGTTGTTTCGCTTGGCCGAAAGTGGTGAACTGCCGAATTTGGTTTTCTCCGATGAGAAACCATTCGTTATCCAGCAGTTTGTAAACAAACAAAATGATCGTGTTTACTTGCCAGAGAGGTCAGCTGAAAATTTGCAACTTCGGTTGGCCATCACAACTCAAAAGCCGGCCATGGTGATGGTGTGGGCCGCCATAACAGCCGATGGTCGCTCGCCGCTCGTATTCATCGACCGTGGTGTCAAATTAAATGCGCAAATCTATCGCGAAAATATTTTGGAGGGAGTTCTGAAGCCCTGGGCACGCAAACATTTCGGCCGCAGACCTTGGACATTCCAACAGGACTCAGCACCATCGCACTCAGCACGCGCCATCCAAGAATGGTTAAGAAATGAGGTTCCTCGCTTCATTTCCACCGCACAATGGCCACCAAAATCTCCGGATGCCAATCCGTTGGACTATTGTGCCTGGGGTATTTTGGAAAGCAAGGTTGGAACTAAAAAATACCAAAGTGTCGATCATCTCAAGCAAGCGCTTCGCCGAGAATGGGACAAAATACCGCAGAGCCACTTTCGGCAGCGTGTGATGGTTTCATTGGCCGTTTGAGGCCATAGTTGTGCCAAAGGTGGCCAATTCGAACAAATCTAAACCGATTCTCAAATTTGATGTTATTTCCGACATTTTTTGCTTTCATTCAATAAAATTTAAAAAAAATGAAAAAATTATGGCGTTTTACTTTGTTGCAGTTTTTTCATCTCACCTTGTATATAAATGGCACCGACTGATCCTGAAACTCTATTCTGTTTGAATGTTGTAACATCTGCTATAGTATTCGATGTCTGTTAGACATCACTAGATATTGCAATTAATGTAATGAGGCGTTCACTATATATTATTCCCGTAATAAGTTATTTATAATAACAGTATTTTAATTGCTTTATATTATTACTAAATTAATTATAATTTTCAAATAATAACCGCAAATTAATTAACACAGCAAATATCATGAAGATAATTGATTCTGATAAATATTAATAAAAAATTATGAACTGCATACTGTGTTTTAGAGTTTTGGTAGAGTATTTAAACTATAAAAATAATTATAGTTACAAAACTAGGTTAGGTTAGGTTATATCGGCGATCCCAGAGGGATCCACTTAGGCCTATAGGTCCATTGTAATACCGTATTATTTAGAATCTATGGGCTAAAACCATCCAGAACCTTTAATAAAGCTCATGATGCTATATAGAGGGAGGTCTCGAAGTTCGTCAAGATCCTCAAAAAAGAAAGCCTCCAAAAATTTAAGGTTACAAAACTAACTATTGATCTATATTACTGACTAGTTTCATTAAATTTTCTATTGACATAGGTACTTACTTTAAAAATTTCAATATTTTTAAATAAAATTATAAATATATTATTGCTTATATAAATGGAAAGCAAAATATCCATAAACATTTGAAAAATTCTTCTTTTATCCATTACGTTCTAATTCCGTCCATTTTCTTTCTATAATAATACTCTTTTAAATTACATTGCTTATAGCGCAGTGGCGTATTCATTGGAGAGGTAATAGGAAATAAATCCGCGACAGTATAATTTACAGATAATACAGTGTAGAAACACTACCAAAAATATATTCCCTCCATATTTTCTAATCCATTCCGTTCAAATTCCTTTCATTCACTTTCTATAACAATACTCTTTTAAATTACATTTCTTATAGTGAAATGGCGTATTTATTGGAGAGGTGATAGGGGATAAATCTGCGACAATATAATTTATAGAAAATACACTGCAAAAACATTACCAATTATACATATTTTGTTGTATATCACCCATCCCCCTTTGGAACAATTCTATTTATGTTACCATCATAGTCAATATTTTCTTTCACTTTTTATTTATTTTATCCATGCATTTAGTGACAAAATGTAGAGAAAACTTTTCGCTTGTACTATTCCAATTATACAAATCTATCTTATTGTTTCATATATATAGTATCACTTAAAAGTACATAATATAATGAAATGTCTTTCATCACAACGTTATTATAATCACAAAGCTGTTGTTGCTTTTAATGAAATTGGAAAATGCTATTGAAGTGGCGGGGTGTATTGTAAATGAGTTTAATTTAATTAAGCGCCTTAAATGAAAATCATATTAAACGAGTATACAATTTTCAATTTTGCATCCAGCTCTATGTGTAGTACACTACTATGCAATTTACTGTGTCGCTCTCTCTTTGTGCGATTAAGGATAAGTGACGTCCAATGTCACTTTTCATTGTCCCTGTCATTGGTAAATTATTTTCTATTATGGAAAATTGATTTTAGTTTCTGTTGGTTTTGGTAAAGTGCATAAAATAAATTTATC